AATTTCTAATTTCGGTAAAAATCTAAATTTTATTTTGTCACATTTTATATCCAATAAAATCAAACTTCCACCATGCTGATTTAATTAGGGCATCTCACACCCCAGTCATTGGTCATGATGTAATATTTAGCGCATCACATGACTTCCGTAGTAAATCCGTTCTAATTGGTCAATATTAACGGTCGATTGGTTGGTCCACGATTTACAATCTCACAATACGCAAAGAATAAGCATCTATATATTTTACATATTAATTGCAATTATTAAAAAATTTAGCTTCAAGAGAAATGAATTCAACTCCTGACCAATGCTTTAAAAGAGGCTATATGGCAAGTTTATTTGTTATATATAAATTATATATTGGTAGATTAGCCCGACGATGATAATATATTTGAATGGTTTCAAGTAGTTGTTTTTCCGAGGGTGGTTTTCAATAATATTAATATTAATTAAGGTTTGAAGATAATTTCTATATTAATATTTCGAAATTTTCACCAGGGAAGCATTTTACCTGGCATTAAAAGATTTCAAAGATAGAAATCACGATAAACGTAAGGATTTAATTAAAGGTTGTTGTGCTGAAAAAGATGGTTTGTTTTTATTCGATTGTTACGCATCTCCATCTGATAATGGTGGTGGTGATGATGACTACAATTTATTTTTGATGATGATAACATCAGTAGTAATATTCATGATAAAAAAAATTCAAGTGTGAATATCCAAGATGTAACAAAGTAGTTAATCGAAAAAGGTTATTTGCTAGATCACACAAAGCGCCATCTTGGTGTTAAATGCGAATACCCAAAGCATTTTTACGAAATAGTGCATTACAAGTACACACAAAACGTCATTTTGGAATAAAAGATTTTAAGTGTGAATACCCAGGATACGCAAAAGCATTTTGTCAAAGCAATGATTTACCGAGACACAAAATTTCATCTTGGGATCAAAGACCATGAATGTGATGTGCTTAGATGTGACAAAAAATTCATTACCAAATATGAATTCAAGAAGGGTTCATAAATAATAAACAATTGCCCGATCATACTTGTGATCTTGAATGATTGGTTTTTTGTTCTTGAATTGTTTACAAGTTTGCTTTCACTTTTATATTAGAAAAATAGTTCTTTTGCAAAGAAATCAAACGTGGCCAGTTGAAAGAAAGAATAAATATTATTTCCCGGATTATCATTGTTACTTGATTCTTTAGAAAATTATCTATTTCCTGAAAAACATTATAAACGGGTCGTCGTTAAAAAACACATATAAATAGGCAAAAATAAGTCTCGAAACAAAAAAGGATTCACCTTGCTCTATTTGAGTACCACGAAAATAGACCATCAAATTCGAGTTTCTTCAATTACATCGGTAAAGATAATTATTTTATACCTGCATCTAAGAAAGATCCTGTAGAATATAATATATTTATGGACATCCCTCTAAATTTCTTGAGAAGTTATAGTCAAAGAATATATTGGAGGTAAGTATTATTGAAAAGAAAATCGCGGAAGATCAAATGAGAATTCTTATCCCATTCATCAAACAATTATGCGAGTTCTGACATTTATGGTAATACTTTTATAACCAAAGATGGAAATATGAGTGAGAAGAGTATCAAGGAAGTTGGACTTCTTCTCAAAGAGATAGATATTTGTATGGATATCGATAATTACGTTCAATTAAGCGAGGAATAGTGATGTATCTTTATTGAACACTTTTGTTTACTTATTTACACTGCAATATCTCCATTTTTATTAATTTACGTGTCCCGTGCATCCGTTGTGGCAAGGTTGACTGTACTGTAATTTAGACTATCCTTGATAAATAATTAAATATTTTTATTATTATACAAAAAAATAAATACATAAAAAATTATCTAAACAAAATTGTTATTATATTAACTCTCACTCAAGTTATATTAATTTATCTAAATTAATTCGTTATTTTCACTATCAATATCAATATCAATATCAATATTGTTGTTGTTGTTATTGTTGTTATTGTTGTTGTTGTTATTATTATTATTATTATTATTATTATCATTATCATTATCATCATCATCGTTATTATTGTTATTGTTGTTGTTTTTATTATTACGTATACGATTAATTCCTCGTACAAGATTGACTGCTTTCTTAAATTTTTTTCTAGCTGAAGAATTATTTTTAAAATCTTTATAAATATCAATATTACTAGCTAATTTAAACCAAGGATGTTCCAATGCTTCCTTAGCTATTATTCTCTGTGAAGGATCATAAATTAACATTTTATCTATTAAATCTTTCGCTAATAGTAATAAAATAGAGTTAACATAATATTTACTATTATTACTATCATAATTAATAATGCTTATATATATATATATATATATGTGTACCTAATTTAGATATTCCTAACCAATACGGTTTTTCATATTCGTAAACCCCTGCCTTAATAGTTTCGAATAATGAAGCTTGATCTTCACCCCGGAATGGTGCATAACCACATAATAATGTATAAGTTATTACGCCTATACTCCAAATATCAACAGGTTTACTATAACCAATTCCTAATAACACTTCAGGTGCAACATATCTAAAATTTAATATTATTAGAAATTAGATTTTAGAAATTAGATTTTAGAAATAATAAATAATAATAAATATTTTACCAACCCAGGCGTTCCACATGCAGTCAATAATAGATCATTTTCATTTGTTAGAAATTTTGATAATCCAAAATCAGTTATCATGAGATTTGCATCTTTAGATTTATCATTAAATAATAAATTTTCAGGTTTCAAATCTCTATGAACTATATCTAGATCATGCAAGTAAGCGACACCTTCAAGGATTTGTCTAACAAGTTTTGCTGCATATGCTTCTGTATATGATCCTTTGAGTAACAGTTGATGAAATAACTCTCCACCTGTTGCTAAATCTGTTATGATAAATACTCCATCCTTCGTCTCATACAATTCATGCAATGAAATTATATGTGCATGATGAACTTTTTTTAGCACATCCAATTCACTTGAAATCATTCGTTCCTTTCCTAGAGTTACATTCTATGATTATCATGAAATATTATAAAATCACAATTAATTAATTATTAATACAATAATTTGCTGACCTTTTATTGATTTTTTTGGAAGTATTTTCAATGCATAATTTTTATTTGTTATTCTATCTGTACATTGTTTCACGACAGCAAAAGAACCCCTTCCAAGTATTTTCTTTGATATTTTATATTTATCCTCCAGTCCTTGAGGAATTTTAGGTTCCCTTTCACGTTTCTTAAAAAAATCAATTAGTTTATGCATTTGAATTTGGAAAAAAAAAATAAAAAAATAAATAAATATCGACTCCATATATATTTGTCAAATGTTTGTCAAAACCCATTACTAAGTAAAGTAAATTCTTACTATAAAAAATAGACCATTGGCTTTTGAAAAATCATCCGCAATTTTGCGCAGCATCATGAGAATATCCAATTTTTATTGGTGGGTTGGGTGCATATATCCTTATTTAGAAATCTATTTGGCGATTGCGGAGACTAAAATAGCCCAAATCACGAGACCTATCAAATACATGAAATATTAATATTTAAAGTAGGTTGCAGCGAGTTCGCATAATCAACGTGTGATTTTTTAGAAAGTTTAATACATTACGATTAATTACATTCAATTTTTTATAACGTTGTTAGTTTTTGTAACCCATCCATCAATGCCCACAGCATCCAATCTTTTATACTCTTCTAAACCGCCTCGGAAATTTTTAATTGAGAATAATCAAATCAAGGGTCTGCACTTTTTCCAATGAGTGAGCTCAAACATGTGTAGCAGTGTCAATCCTGTAGATGTGACATGCGCATGATTTTTTTTTTTTCAAATCATGCAATGTCCCATACACAATTTTATTCAAAAAAAAATGTGAATTTTTAATTATTATTGATGGATGATGATATTATTGGTAGTATTTTAAGAAATGACAAATCAAAAATTTGGCCTCATTTGTTAAACTGGCTAGATTTGATAATTCAGCTCCTATTTCATCAGCTTTGTTTCTAAAAGGAATTGGTTTATAAAAAGAGAAATAAACTATATAGTGACACCTGAATGTGATTTAATTACAAATTAAAATGCCCAAAAAATACCAACAATGATAATATGGTTATTACAATTGATGGTGATGGAAATGT